ATCAATGAAATTCAGCATTTATTCTGCTATCTCTTCGACTTTCGTACCACATTCATCTTATCGGTCGAATGGTTTAACTTTGGCCTCAGTTAAAATTAACTTTAAAAAAAAATAAAACCGACTTCAAATGCGTGAACACAAAAAAAAACTAAAAATTAAAAATATTGCGTATAAAAAAGTTCAACCCCAATTTTCCACCCTTGGGGGTGAAATATTTTCTTCAAATTCGCATGAAACCACCCTTTTGATAATACCTATTCAACAAAAAAATAATCGTTCAAATTGATTAATAATCGGCGGAGATATTGCGTATAAAAATGTTCATCCCCAATTTTCCACCCTTGGGGGTTGTTTTTTCTATTATTAAATTTAAATGGGACCACCCTTGAGGTATTACCTATACGCCGAAAAAAGATTTGTTCAAATCGGTTCATAATTGGCGGAGTTATCGCGTAACAAACATAGAAAAAAAAAAACATACGGGTCGAATTGATAACCTCCTCCTTTTTTGAAGTCGGTTGAAAATCCACGGATTTTTTAAAGACGGATTGGAATTTCAATACTCATTCTAAATGACACAAGTCATATTGAAATTCATAATATACGTAAGGTTTGTTCGATGCCGCATGCGAATTGCAATTGTAGCGTTTTAAAAATAAAGCTCTATTTCGATAACAGTGCCACAAAGTTTCACAAAAAAGTATCTTATCAAAATGTCAATCAAAATACGTTTAGTAATACGTACAGCTATAAAGTCCTTTGGCTCTCGCCAGAGATGCATGACACGGTCATACGAGTTCAAACCGATGGTTCGGTCTTATAAGACTTGCAGTGTTTACATTGTACAGACTTAATTTATTAGCCAATTACTTAAATCATAAGACGATACATCCAATTTGAAATAAGTACGCGAATATACATATTAGTGCTATTTACACAATAGGGGAAGAAACGAGTGGATCAGAAAAAAGACAGGGGTCAGCGACGCGGTGGAAGAGATTGAGAGCCATAAATGGAGATGGGCAGGGCACATTGCACGGATGAACCAAGATCGCTGGGCCAGAAAGACCCGGGAGTGGAGACCCCGCAACAACACCCGTGTCAGGGGAAGACCCTCTAAACGGTGGACATGTCGCAGGCAAATTGTATGATTCAGCATTTTACAAACGGCGTCGTCAATTNGAGTGTTGCAATTACAGACATTCAATAAATACTTCACGAAATATGAGGGTGGTACAATTTACCCGGCGGTACAATATACCGAACTCTCCCCTATGTAATGTTGACCAAATTTTACGAGCAGATAACACTCATTGTTCATAAATAGATTCGGCAAGTAATAATTAAGTAAAACCCAAAATACCAAAGGGAATTACCTACCGTGTGTAAACAGCAGAAAAACACAGATTTAAAGTAATACGGATATTAAATTGACATTATGACATACACAGTTCTTAAAGTATTGGCTAAAACATATTTTAGCTTTATAAGGTACATGACTTTAGAAAGTTGTTATTTTATACTTATAAACGTCTACTTAGACGTTATCTGAGTACTACCTGATATTGCACTCAAATACTCAGCAGAATTAAAATTAGGTAGGTATTATGTGTAAATATAAATGAATAGTTTACTCAATGCTATTCTTTTCGGCTTTCGTACCACATTCATCTTAACGGTCAAATGATTTAACTTTGGCCTCAGTTAACATGCAAAAAAAAATGTCCACGTATTTTTGAAAGACGGATTGGAATTTCAATACGCATTCTAAATGACACAAGTCATATTGAAATTCATAATCGTACGGTTTGTTTGATGCCGCATGCGAATTGCAATTGTAGCGCTTCAAAAATAAAGCTCTATTTCGATAACAGTGACACAAAGTTTCACAAAAAAGTATCTTATCAAAATGTCAATCAAAATACGTATAGATACGTACAGCTTTAAATCCGAATCCTTTGGCTCTCGCCAGAGATGCATGACACGGTCATACGAGTTCAAACAGAAGATTCGGTCTTATAAGACTTGCAGTGTTTACATTGTACAGACTTCATTTATTAGCCAATTACGACGATTAAGACGATACTTCCAATTTGAAATAAGTACGCGAATATACATATGAGTGCTATTTACACAATGGGGGAAGAAACGAGTGGATCAGAAAAAAGACAGGGGTCAGCGACGTGGTGGAAGAGATTGAGAGCCGTCAATGGAGATGGGCAGGGCAAATTGCACGGATGAACCAGGATCGGTGGGCCAGAAAGACCCTGGAGTGGAGACCCCGCGACAACACCCGCGGCAGGGGAAGACCGCCTAAACGGTGCCGCGGTGGACAGACGACATTCGGCAGCAGGCTGGAGTAAACTGGATGCAAGTGGTCAGGGACAGAAGTCGGTGGAGGGTTGAAGAGGATATGTTCGAAGTGGAACCCCCTAAAGGCTGATATAGAGATTTACACAATAATATTTGACTATTGGTGCAAAATATTTGCCTTAAGTAAAGCGATATTGGCTTACTATGTCGTCACAGTTGAGACACTCTAGAATAAATTATATGCAATGCAAAAAAATATACTCGTAATGCGACATACATTGCAGTCATTGCAGTCTGTAATTCTGTATCGCTCTTAATACCATACTAGTATGTCAGCCTGAAACTTTTTTCCTCATCGAAAAAATAAGAATGTAGGCAAGTAAGGTATCTTAAATGTCAGCTCATGTGAATCAGGAAGACAATTTGACTTATTTTTAGACCATAATAGCATCACTTCGAGTTTTAATTCGTTTAAATGTCGGTAGCAAATTACTAAGTCGTACATTTATAGTTCAATTGCCAAGTCACATCCAGTTTAGGTATTGCCTAGTTGCCTAAATTAAATATTTATTATAGTATGTGATACGTAAATATTTCAGTATGTCATTTTTATCCAGTATTTAAGAGACTTGGTTATTTTAAAAATGGATTTATTTTATTCGTAGTTTTTAAACTATGTTCACTGCACATCTTAACCACTTGCCATGGTCTTATCGTTAAATGACCATTTGTGGTTATCATTTTCTCGATCATAAACTTTATGGTGTGTCTGAATATATCACTGAAACAGAAGATTGTGCTTATGTTTTTTGAGGTTATCGTACCTAAACAATTAATTGTGACATTTCAATTCTATTTTCAAATAACTATCGAGTAAGAAATAATTAGGTCCTATGCTTGTAAGTATCAGGAAGTACTCGTAATTGATTTGCAGACTTTCCAGTTACATTTTGGGGTTCCGTATTGCAAACTTATATAGAATGAAACAGGTTATTTTGAGCTCTAAATACCGCGTGTCAAGGCTGGTTATTAGACTCGAAGCTTGAACGCATCCTAGTCAAGACTAAAATTGTAAATAAAGGCGGATTATACAAGGTGGAATTTTGTAATGCCAACTGAAGGGAAAATACTCTTAATACTCTAGATAGAAAATTTTACTGAAAGAAAACATTCCTTTATTTTTGTACATTTGACATAAATGTCATTGTATTAAAGTTACTGTTTTACATTAATTTGATAAATGCAATATTTGTTTCACCCAAATTTTGTTTTGGTGAATCATATTCAGTTCTGATTCTCTTTCTGCAAGAAAAACATTATACAGCTGGTATAAAAATGCGACCTTATATTTATGTTTGTATTATTGCTAATATGAGTAATGAATATGTACTTGTTTTACTATTTAGTATAATGCAAATGATTAATTACTTATCAGTTTTGGTACTAAATAAGTAGAAAAAAATATAATCTACCTAAGTAAATATGACAGGGATCATGACAGTGTATCGATTGCTAAAGTAAATCAAAGTTTACAAATAAGAAAGATAACCTACATTATGGTTGAATTTATTTTATCTTTGCATTAATTAATTTCCGTAACGCATGTATTAGGCGATTCGTTTATTATTTAGAAGGTGAAGAAACTTTGCAAAATAAATAATAATATCCTTCCTGCCCCTTAAGGGCTACCTTTTTTTACTGTATTTTGACGTTCATAAGTGCCATTATTGGTAAAAATTGAATAAAATATTTTTGATTTTTGCATATCAATCATCAAACTTTTTGTATTATTAAAAGATTTTTTTCCTCATTAAAGTTGCCACCACAAAGCTTTTACATGAGAAATCTTCAAGTTCCGAAATAGGCATAACATTAAGTTTTTCCATTTCACATAATATTTTTGCCTAATTCGCCTCGATACAAAAAATTGGTAAATAAATACTGTAAGGTGCCGTAATAGTCTCTGTCACTATCTGCCGGTTAAAATTATTGCATAAAAGTAAAAGGATCGTGTATGCCGGATAGATTAAAGGATTCATATTATGTCGCCAATATTTTAATTTATAATCAATAATTTCTAAGCGTCGTCGATTATGAAACATTGAATAAGCGATGTTTGTGTTAGGTTCACGGTGTGGCTTTCACTTCTCGGTTTAACCAATTTGCATACTTAGCTTCGTTTGCGCTGCGGTTGTTTGAAATTCTTGCGTTGCGTTTGTTTTAATTTTGAATTGCATCGGGATTACATTACGCAATGTTTTTATCCGAATTCTTTTGAAGATTAAGTAAAGATTTTTTGTTTCATTATTTATCAATTATTTTGGTCCTATTTTACACAAGTTATATAAAAAAATATACAAATAGTAACTAATTATAACTTTTTATAACTGAGTAAACTCAGAATAGTTTATCAAAAAATATTGACTGAGTGAAGTTTTCTTTCATTTTGAGTTATATTTTTCACACTTAAAACTGCAAAAGTGTAGGTACCTACTCGTACAAGTAATAATTGATAATTTTATTTATTTTAGAACTAGTTTCATTTACAGGTAATGGTTATATTTTTTATTTAATAAAATGTGTTTCTGTTGTGTAAATAAAACGAAAAAGTTCCAGTTAGCATTTCTTTCCAAACATCTGTTTACAAATCGGAAAATTCCATAAAAGCTCTTTCCATAAAAACTTACCAACTATTCCTATTAAGAACTTTTCACAACCTACAGGTCATCACTCACTACACTTGCATTAATCCACTTTAAATCGATTCTATTTTGTTTCGAATCGAGCGTTCGATATTCAAACGGCCGCGCTATGCGCAGGAGTGGATACGCGCGCGTTCGTGCCAAGCGGTTAGGTGATTGCGGTTAGTTCGCACCGGCTTACACTCTTAACCATTTCGACAAGTAACGGATGTCCATCTAGTCCCAGTCAATACGTCTGTAAAGGCTACTGAAGATAAATGTTCTTTTAATTTGCTTACTGGCTGTGATAACAATAACATTATTTGGGCAATATTAGTTACTCTGAAGTACTTCGAGAAATGGTTCGAGAGAGAGGGCGAATTTTTTTATAGATGACTTTTTCAGCCTCCCCTTCTTTTGAAGTTTTGCAAAATTAATAAAAAAAGCTGCANATTAATAAAAAAGCTGCACCTTTTACTATACCTATTCTAACTTTTTGATTTATGGTCAAATAAAAACAACTATCGTTTTTGTCTCAACTTGCATTGTCATGTAGGAAGTTGGACTTGAAATTAATCAATATTTAATTTCCCTATCGATACCCGAATGGGCTATTTGATTAGGCTGTGTATTCACTTAGAAATAGTGACATCAAAGCAAATTGTGTCTAGGTACTTTTGATTGCGGCATGTTTTTGCCAAACATGTCCACCAGAATCAAATGTTATTGCAATTGACTGCATACCACTAATAATCAATTGACATAAGTACTAAGCTATTCCTTAGTGATTTTATAGGTACAGTCAGCGTCAAATAGTTCGGGACACTCAAAGTAGCCAAAAAGTTCGCAAAACGTCTTTGTTACAATTGAAATAAAGTTATGTTATCAACTTTTTGGTCTCTTTTTCGCTGACCAGACTGTACAAAACTTGTATACTACTTTCTTGCCAGATTAGTTTATTATTCGTCCAATATCTTAGTAATAAGGTTTCAAGAATAAAAATAAAGACTTTCTGGAAAAATGAATTAGAATGCACGGTTAAGTATTGGTTCAACTTTATGAAAACATAGAGTCGTGAAGTCTCACTTTGAATTTCTCCAAAGCGTAATTAGAATGACCTTAGTGATTTCGCTGTTTAAACTATATGTATGTATGTGTTATTAACATAAAAACATTTGCGGTTTATAAGCTGTAGTGGTTTTTGTTTGACTCGCACAGTACCTAACTTTTAAAACTCTACAATATTTTTTGCAAGTCATCGTGTCGTAGATCAAGTCTGTAACCAAGGATTTAGATTTCTATCTAATTTATTAATATTATGATAGGTACCTACAGACTTAGTAATAGTGGTGACTGGTGACTGAGTTTGTTGCGGCGCTTCTTCTCAGCCGATAAATGTTTGTTGCACAAAGGCAACTCTATGCACCTTTTAATACGGCTCGTATTATAAATGAAGCTCGGGACTGGATTCAAACTCTACTAACTCAAGCAAACGTGAGAGCTTGATGTGTTTGATTTTTGAAATATTTCAATGGCTTTTTCAATGCAAGTATGAATAGGCACTTACAGGGCAAATATTTACCATCCTAGACTGTATCCCACTTAACACCAGGTGCGACTGTAGTCAAATACCTGCCTTGTTATGCATAAAAAAGTGCAATCATGTAATTTCGATAGAGTGAGTAAGACCACTCTTCCGTTGTTGCGGTAAAAGGCGACCAAGGGAGAAATATGCGAGTATCAAGACTCCCAATCCGTTTGGCCAGAGCGGGGAGTGTAGGCCAAATTCTCTATTTGCCTCAGTTAAATTGGAGATTCATGTTCCTGCAGAGGACACTGAATTACCCGATGATGATGATTTTGCGTAAAAAGGATTGAATATTCTTAGGATTGATACGAGTTTTGTCTCTTGAAATTAGTCTCTACAAAAATCTACATTGACGTTTTATAAAAATAAGATTATATAAATTTTCCAACACAACACTTATGTGTAAGGATCCTAACAAACGTATGCGTATTAGGTTATTAACAACAATGACCTACATTCTAGGATAAGGGTTCTTAAGTTACCGTAGTCTGATTAGCAGCCTAGACAGGTTGATTTGTCTTTTATTACTTCCTACAGAAACGTTATCCTTGTTATACGATATTTGTCATACAAATTGGCAAGTTATACAAGCAATATAGTGTTGACCAATACATTGCACATCTCACGGTGATTGGTAGCGAGCGTATGTCAAAAATGTATGCAAATATTAAGCAATCCTACCAAGTGTATCAACGAAATACGTTAATAATATTGTAATGTTGATAATCGATATTATCAAAAATAATTATTACTAACTGACCCAAAGATTTTGTGCCGCCTTATGCTCTGTAAAAATAATAGAAGCTTCTAAACGCAAAAGAATTTTGCACGTCTGTCCAGTAGTTTCGAAGCCTATTCAATACAAAAATATACATAATCAAATCTCTTATTTATAATATTATTATTATTAATGTAGAAAAAGAAAGGAATAGCTTTTACATATTATGGTGCTAAGATATAACAAGTTGTCATGGTCCTAAGATAATAGGTACATTGATTTGATCGGAAAAGAACCAAAAAAATATTTACTGGATTTTCCCTTTTCTTTGTCAATATCTTTTACATTAATCAGTCCCTCATTAAAACAAAGATCTGATACAATTACCACGTTTTACGCAATTCGCAAGTTGTAATTTCATAAGAGTAATAAAGGATTCCATTGTTGTTAATGTTTTATTAATATTGTGTATATTTTTTGCACTATTACGACAAACTAGCTGTGCCCGTGACGCGTGAAAACAGTTGGAAAAATATTTCCCGGTTTTGCAACATTTTTGTTACTGCTCCGCCCTATGGCTGAAGAGTGATGTTATATAAATGGGATATCCAACACATATTTTTTCAAATCGGTTCAGTAATTGCTGAGATTATCGCGTTCAAGCAAATAAACAAACTCTTCAGCCTTATAATATTAGCATAGATTGGAAGCGGGGTTTAAGTGTGGCAATAAATAAAATAAATTAACTGCATTTTACACGACTCTATTAAGTCTAAACACCATCTTAAATTGGGCAATACCCAATCATTTCAATCCTCGCCATAATAATTAACGATCATAGTGTATACCTACTATTTTAATGTTATTATTCTTATTTGTATAGAAATTATAGAAATAGGCAATCTCTTTGTTGCTCTCATAATAATGGTTTACTACGGCAATTATTTCAATTAGGTAACCATCGGTATAATAATGTAATAATTTTATCTAGTACCTATCATTGTTGTTGTAATGGTTCGAATCATTAGGTGAATAGGTATCTATTTTAAAAGTTAAGTATCTAGATTTGCAATAGTAAATTTCGAAATATTTTCAAATGTCTAAAGTACCAAGATTTATGTTTAACATAAATATTTTATAGGTAGGTATTTCCCAACAAACCAATAAAAGGCATATTCCATCAAACGCATATCGATTTTATTCAAATTTCATGATTACGTTACACATCAAAACTGAATTGTTTTGAATATCATTAAATAAATTGGAATCCAATCTCAAAATAATATTCGACTTAAACTCTTACATTCATACAATATTATCTTTATCGTTCTCATTTAACTTAGAGAAAAAAAAAACGTTTAAAATCTACGTTTTGTCATAACTTATATTCACAATTCTTGAAAATCACCATAGAAAAAANATAAAAATAACAATATTTTGGTTTTTAAATGCTTCCAATAATTAAATATTATAGCTAAACTATAATTCATGACTTAAGATAATGGAAATTTTACAACGCAAAAAAGGAAAATTTTAAGTAGGTAACGATATAACGCCTCGTAAAGAGTTAAGACTTGAGAATTCACTGCTATTATAGAATAATCTTTGGACATTATTTTGATTGTAACTTTCACTACTTCCATATGTTAGGAATTGCATTTTTCCGCTATATTGCCAACTAAGGCTTACATTACAGATGAATTTGAAAACTATGAAACTAAACCTCATATCTATAATATGTCCATTTTGTAAGCTTAAAATGTCGTCTAATTTAGTAACAGATTAAGGTTTAAATAAAAAGTAATTTACGAAAATCAAAATCATACGTGAGGGTAAAGACTTATTTACATTGAAGACAATGTACGCATACCTTTAACAGACGTTCTCTCATAACGGTCAAGGTTATAAAGAATAATTTTATTAACAACCATTTTTTAATACAACCTTTACTCGTCATTTAAGGTTTAGTACCTTGTACAGTGAATTATTTCAAAAAGTTTTAACGATTTAACATAATGGTGTGATTCTAAATGTCTCACAACTTTTAGATTAATACACCAAGCTCTAGTTTCAGCAAGTTGCACAGTCATTTCACTTTTAATAAACATTCACACTTTTTCTTCGCTTATCCCTTCTACTTCGTTACATTTGCCTTGAGGTGTTTCGTTTGTTACAATATCCAGTGAACCGTTTTTACTCAAACCGCATACTGATAGAACCTTACCGCCTACATTATGTTTCCTTACACAATAAATTACTATAATAATTATCGTCAATATCACAACTACTGCTCCTACAATTATCGGTGCACTTTGGTCCATATCTTCAACTTCTGCTAGTAGAAGATTTTTATTTTCTTCCTTCAGGAAATCTCGAAGTGCTGAAAAGTACTCTAGGATACCAGCTGATGATAGTTCTGTATCACCCGTCATCACCTTCAGTACGGTTCGCCAATCTTCACTAGCTCCCAGCGACATACCATCACTGTAAACAAATACAGCATTAAAATAAATATTCATGAATGTAGAATCACCTTTGACTGGGTAACGTCTCGTTATTTTATAAGAATATAGACATTTATGATAATTATGTTTCTCCGTTTGTGTAATAAATCTTCTCTCCATAATCAATTGCTGTGTTAAATCCTTATTAGTAAGATTAAGTTAATAGACACGTAAATGCAATCACTTACTGTCATAAATTACGGTCAAAATCAAGCCTATAATGTTGTGGAGTTGACTGTAAACTAGCTGATGGAAAATAGAAGATTTGATATTAGAACTGTATCTTACAAGGTAAGGTACCTAAACACTTATAATCGAATTAAACTAGGTATCAAAATCAACTTAGCAGGAACTACTGGTGAAGCATGACCATTGACCATGGTTA